AAGATCAAGAGAAAATACAAAAGCGCAATTATTCACTCTGACCGTCAAGATTACAGTGCAACAACAAGGTTCGGATTTCATCACAAGAGCTCCATTTGTGCGTACAACGTCTGGCAAGGACGTGGGGGGCGAAGAAGTCGACCGTACTGTGTCGCAGCAGTCGTGTCAACACGCGAAGTGGTGCGCGATGTTCGCTCGCTGTGTACATTGCAGAAAGCCTACACAAATGGAGGAAGGACCAAAGATGTGACAGGGATAAGGAAGGAAGCAAGGACGCTCGGAAACATATTCCGTTTCCTGTTTTCATGGAGCAAGTATTCCCTTTTTAGAAGGTCAATGGAGTTTGTCTCGAGCGCATCGGAGGTTAACAAAATTAACCGAATTAAAACAATCACACTCGAAGAAAGAGTGCAGAGCGTCGACATCGGCTTATTTTGCAAATCGATTCGTTTCGATTGGTGCAAGGAACGAGCTGTATTCGTGTGGTGGTCGGATGCGAGGAAGTGGAAGTGGGTTCATATTTTTGACGTGTTTTGGGAAGGCATGTGAAGTGGCCAACTACCACCTGGTGAAGCAAGGGGTTAAGGAACATGAACGCGGGAGGGGTTACAGTAACCCAGAGCCAAAACAACCTCAACAACAACAGGACAGTACTTCTTACCTCAGGTCATAACTCCACTGCTGAGTAGGTGCTCCTGACCAGCCCCTGACTCGACTGGTCACATAATGTCTGGTTGTTGTGACTAGGGGTTATCTGTACTGTGCTCCTGCCATTGTGGGAAGGTTAACGAATTTGGGTCAATGGTTCTCTAGGGAACTGGAACTGTTCTTTTAACCGCTTTACATTCCTCATTCTTATCCATCCTAGGCTCGTTCTACAAGCTGTATGGTACCATCGCTGCTTCTGCTTCTGCAGCAGCTGCACCCCTTACCCAGCCCATGCCCATGCCCACCCAGGTGCCGGCACAATGGGAGTGCTTCACCCAAGATCAGATGTTCGGACGCAGAAGCTGTTTCGGTGACGGGACGTGGTGGTCGAGAATTTCGTTTCTAAATACTTGACGAGTAGAAGTTGCTGCTCGAGGTTTCAGTGCGGTTGTAAAGTGTGATCAGTGACTACGATGCTCTGGTTTTCTGCGCATAGCTGGTGCCGAGATGCAAGTGAAGTGAGCTTTAGTTTGTTGCAAGAAGAGAAGATGTGCAAACCAGAAACAATCTACGGAGTCAAACCGGGGGGTATTGTAATAATTGTCCTCCGTATATAAACAAAAGGTCATGTGATAATTATTGTGGTATATAAAAGTTTCCGTGCATAATAAATGCGCCATCTGTGGTTTCGTCTAAAGTGGATATAATGGCTCCGTGTAATGATAGTGAGTCACCCCGGTTCTTGGAATCTGACTCCAAGGACGATCCGAGAGTTATATTTGACCGAGCCATATATATTATGCAACCTTCCGCTACATACTCCAAAGGCCGAACTCAGTAACCGAACCGGAGATATACCTCGCTGATCCAACTACAACATAATTCAGTTCCATGCTTCCCTGCCAAGATTACAATGATTGGAACCGAAAAAAGATTGAATGTTTTCTTATTCTCCGTCGCGCTGAGATGTCTTGGGAGCGAATAATGTTCAGCCGATTTGGAGTAATAGACCAAAAGAAGGGATTCCCAGGAATTGAGGTACAGGCCTCGGAGGCCAGGAGTTCCTCAGATACTTCATCGAGTATCTGGAGGAGGAGGGTTGTGCTCTGTGCAGCTAGTCCTAGCTTGATTCTGAGAAGTTGATTTTGTCATGGGTTCTTCGATGCCAACGGAAGTGGTCTGAATTTGCCCCTTCTGCATAGACTTGTTTCTCAAGTAAGGCAAAATCATCATGATGTGGGATCCAGATGGCAAATAAAAAGCAGAGAAAAGGAGCATGGACATCGAAAGGCGAAGAGTGATTGCTGGATGGACTCTTCTTAGGCTTCCACTAGGTGGACCCTGCCCTCCAGATCCTCGCTCGTTGCCAGACAGAACTGAATCAAACGCATATTTTACTGATTTATTCCAAGCATCTGACTGCATAATTCTACCGGATCAGGTCTGGAATACACCATGCAGCATAATGTATAACAGAGGGGAGTACACCATGCACTGCACAGCGGCCGGAGGAGACCTGGGAGCCCAAAATGAGAAGGGCAGGCAGGCGGAGAGCGAGTGAGGAACCCGAGTTCCGAGTCGCGACCTGCGATGGGAAGTGGACAATGCAACATGATGAGCCCGTGCAGGGGCGGGTGAGTTCCACTAAGCCCTCCTCGCAGCTCGCAGCTCGCAGCTCGCCTCTATTCTATTGCTGTAGCAATGCTGCATTGCATGTATGGAAAAGGTGGCCGTGTGTCTGCGACACATATGATAGAAGAAAAGCCAAGCCAGCCCCACTCTCTGTCCCTCGTTCTTTAGCACCACCATAAGTAAGATGAAAGATGGAAGCCATGTGAGGACGCTTTTCTACGGGCCTGCATTCCACACTCGGGGAAATTCAACAATGTGCGAGGGCACGAAATAAAAGAGGGCTCGATGTTCAGGGGGGCTTTAATGATCAACGCTCATGCATGCATGCATGCTATCATCCAGCCATCCATCCATCCATCCCACGGATTCCCACCCCTCCCCATCCCATCCCATCCACCAATCAATCACTCGCCAATCAGTATTTCCTTTCCGTCGGTCAGACACCCCCTGCACCTCCTCTCTCTGCAACTACAGCGACGACATCCTCACAGTAGAGGAGACGTTGTGAAAGCCCGAGATATCCATTTTCTACGAGAACCTACAAATTCCAGTCGAACCTGGCGATGTGAGCTCTCTCTCTCTCTCTCTCTCTCTCGCACGGGCCACATCCAAGGCCTGCTGCTATCCGGAAGACTTGACGTACAGATCAGCGAAAGAAAGCCTACGATTTCAGTTCATAGAATCCTTTATTTAGGACACCTTAAAAATAAGTTCAGCTCTCATTCTTGTCAGTTCTGTAATTTTTCTGTTATGAAACCTTGCAGGAATAAGGATTGCACTTGTTAACTCGCCAGTTTCTACTAGAGAGGGCGAAGCAATATTTCACTTTGGAAAACTCTGAAGTATATTTTAACCATCTTTCTGGCTGACCATGAGCTTTCATTCATGGAAGCTGTTCACCTTTTCAAGTTACAGTGATATAAAATTTATTAAAATTTTTATCATAAAAATAAGTTTACGCGGAGAGACTGCGAAGATCGAAGTAGACATAAGAAATTGGCTTGACGTGACACAAGAGAAGAGAAGAGAAGAAAACTTGGCGACGTATGGGTAAGAGAAGAGGCTTAAGGGAAGGGAAGGAAAGGGAGACTGGCGCAATCCACGTGTGAGTGACCAGCACCTAACAATGCCCCCCCGCCCTCCCCGGAATCCAGAACTGTGGCAATAGTGTTGGGTGCAACGAGGCCAGGGCCTCCCTTCCTCGCTCCCTGGCTCCACATTGATTGAGATGTCCCTGCCCACATCCTGCTGCTCCTTCTCCTCCTCCTCGGGGGGTTCTCTTGTCAACTCGTGCTCGCTCGAAACAAGCACCGCGGCAGAGCGAGAAGAGCAGCGAAGTGAGCCCCACCCGGCCCCACGACATGAATCCGAATCTTCCCCGGATACTGCCTTCAGACACAACAGTAGCTGCGGCTGGATTTGGCGGTGGGGCTATCTTAGCGTAGCAGGAGCAGGAGCAGGGACGGCGACGAACGAGCGAGCGCCAAGAGGACAGGAGCAGAAAGCGAGAAGGACCAGAACGGGGACGGGCGAGAACGCGGCATTTACAACTGTACGACCCCGGGAGCGTGAACAGCCAATCCCAGCGCTCGCACCACGTCGTGAGCCGTCTGTGCCAGGCTGCGACTCGCTGGGCCCGTCCACGTCGGATGGAACACCCTTTAAGCAAGCAAGGTGGACATCGGTGCTGCTGGTGCTGGCTGGTCATCGCCCTCGTCTCAGCGCCCCAGGCCGATTCCACGCGACGGGGCCGGGGCGGCTTTCCAGGGCCAGGTCCGAAGCCGAGCCATGCCATGCCATGTCCTCCCATGCCCATCGGAACGCTTCGCCCCCAAGCCAAGCTCGCCACTCCCCCCACGTCCCCAATTCCGGGTCGGGTGCCCCGGTTGAACCCGTCCTCCCCCGACCCGACCCCGACCCCGGAGCAGAGCCGAAAGGAGGACGCGGGAGCAAATGACGGCCAAAGCGGGGGATGTGGCATGGGGGAGGGAGCGGGCGAGTGATGGGAGTGCGGGGGATGTTCGTTCTTCGCCGTGGAGGTCGCATAATGGTGAAATAGCTCGAAGGGAATATTACGATTCCACGAAGGCAGGGAGGGAGGGAGGGAGGGGCGAAAGGGGGGGCCATGACCCAAGGGGAAGAAAATGGTTCACAAGACGGAGGAGGAGAAGGGGATGGCAGGGGGGGGGGGAGAGAAGAGCGGAAAAGAGCAGCGTGCACGCACGTCAGGGTCGGCGAGGCCACTCACTCACTCGCATGCGAGGGCCGGATCGCGCACGCTGTCTGGCAGGTCCCTCACACGTCGCGCACGTAGCCGACAGGTCTTTCCCGGACGAGTCTGGAGGCGGAGCCGCGCTCCCTCTCGCGGCCCCGGACTTTCGCCCGGGGCTGGCCGGTCGCCGCTCGCTCGCTCGCGATGGCGAGAGGGATGGCGAATTGTTTAATGCCGCGGACAAAAAAAAGGCGCTCCGCCGAGCGAAAGCGAGCCCCTGCTACTTTGGCCACTGCTCCCGCCGTGCCAAGATTACCGGCCGCGATCGTACCGATGATAGCCTCGGACTCGTGGCGCTTGTCTGTAGCAGCGTCCCGTCCCGGAGCGGAGCCGCGACATGTGGGCGCCCCGGCGTCGTGGGGCGGACCCTTGATCGCTCGCCCGCCCGCCCGCCCGCGCTCTCTCCAAAGCAGGCCGCAGCAGTGGAAGGCGAAGTGGGAGAAGCAGTGGCAGTGGCATCTGCGGCCAGCCAGCTAGCGAGCGCGGCCGCCAGCTAGCGGTAGCAGCCGCGGCAGACGCCGAAGCATTAGAACAGTCGCACAGTGGTGCGCACTCTCGCTCTCGCTCTCGCCTCAACATCATTCTTGCTTGCTTTCTTACAGCGGCACATTTCTGTCAATCTGATTGCGAGCCTAGTCCTCCGGCCCAGCTCCCAGACACAACACAAACTGCCTCAGTTTAGACCGTGTCCTGCGTCCTACTTTTTTGTTCCGTTTCGGTACCTGCCCGGCCCTCGGGGGCAGCCTGCCCATCGTCGCTTGCCTTCTTTGTTCCGTGGCAGTGCATTGCTTGCAGTGCAGCAGCAGCACCAGCCCCAGCCAACTCGCTCGCTCGCAAGCACAGCAGCACAGCTCAGCTCAGCTCAGCTCAGCTCACTTCACTTCACTTCACTTCACTTCACTCACTCTCTCTTTCCACTGCACTACTTTCGCACTCGGGTTCGAGATAGTCTTCTGGAGTGCGCCTTCAGTGGCACCCCTCTTTCTGCTGTCTGTCTGTGTCTGACTGACTACTGCCTGACTCGACTCGACTCATTCACTCACTCACCAGTCACCACTCACTCACTCATTCACTCACTCACTCGACTCTACTCTACTCTACTCGCTCGTTCGCCCCCGCCCGCCCCCTTCTGTTTCTCTCTTACCTCGTCAAGCTCTCCTCTCTCTCTATCTCTCTCTCTTCTCTCGATATCTGTCATCAATCCATCAATCAATCCTCGTACCCACGACCTTTCCTGTTGCCTAGCCTCGTATCGCGAAGCACCCGTCTCCACCTTTTGTGTCCACGCTGACCCTTCCTTCCTTCCCTTTTTTACACTTGCTTGGCCGTGTGCATTTGCCGCCTCTGGCTCGCAGCAACACTCGAACCAGAAATTTTGCTACTTGCTACTTATCACACGAAGACCCTTCGTTCTGCCTGAAACAAACAGCTTCTCTAGAAACTTCAAATCATCTTCCCATTTTCTACTTTATAGTTTTACTCTCTCCCTCTCCGTCCCTCTCTTTCTTTCTCTCCCTGTGTCTCCCTCTCTCTCTTCTCTCCCTCAACGCTCAATTTGAATAACACCGCGCAGTCTTCTGCTGCTCTCGTAGCTTCATTCGTGTCCAAGTCGAATCCAGTCGCATCACGCACATCGCCTCTCTCTTGCTGTTCTGAAAGGAGCTGCGCATTGCGTTCTGCGCAAGTTAGCCTCTGCTGGTCTACAACATTACATGTACGATACTCACCACCAATTACTTGCGCTCCATATTGTGCTGTAAAATGGCATCCAAATGACTTCTTTCTCTGCATAAGGGCTTAAGACTGTGATTTCTCTCAAGGTTCCGCGTTCGAATGCAGTCAGTGTAGGAACGCAAGTTTCTGCTAGCAGTATAATGCCTTGTTTCTCCGGGTATCATGAAAGATAATATTGTCATGGTGCCTGTGTGACTCAGTCGCTGCTTCTGAAAAACCAAATGCCGGCTGTTGCCTAACTCTATGAACCTGATGATGATGTTTGAAGCCCGAGTGCTCCTCGAGCAATGTGCTCTCTTCTCTAGAAGCGGACGGCGGGCCCTCGTGTCGAGTCGCCGGCTGCTAATGATCCTGTTTCTTATAGACCGCGGAATTGACGAGCGAGCGAGCGTGAGTCCGACGGCCGCTCAGGACTCTCGCTCGCGACGCCTGCCGCGCGTAGAATCCTGTCCAAGATTTGTCCATGTACGTGGGGTAGATAAAAACCAATTAGGAGTCTCGAGACTCACCACACCCACCAACACCAAGCCAAAGAGCCGGACGGCCGACACGAATTCTGAGTTCGTTCATCAGCCATGAACATCTTGCGTTTATGCTGCCGTCTAGCTCGTGAATTCTTGCTGCAACCTGAACCAATGGGGCGTATTTACGGTTTCAAAATTTCGAAATCGTCGCTTCGAACTTTCGAACCCCGTAACGCTCCGAGACCCTCGGACGCTGATTAACCAAGAGATTGCGCAAGTCCGAAGGCGCAGCCTCGACGCAGCCACCGACAGCGCGGCTGAACTGATCTGTCGGGAAACGTAGTCTTGTGTTCAGACCGACGGACGGACGGACTGCCAAAGCTCGGGGTTGACGTCGTTTCTGTTGTCACTTGATCATGCACAGGTAGTGGGATGGAGCTCTCAAGCACATTCGCTGGTGCTTGTCCCGTCATCATGGGAGAGGCTTTCCACATTGACGATTTGTTGGACTTCTCCAACGAGGACATTGCGGGGCCGATAGGCGAGGGTTTACTTTCGAGTCTGGACTCAACAATTACGGACGTCGAGACGATCAGTACCACCGGCAGCCCCTCGTTGGCAGGGACCAAGCACATTCTGGATGGAGACGACGTTGTAGCCGGAGACCTCTGCGTGCCTGTAAGTTCGCCCTTCCCTCATGCAGCGCAACGATAGTATTTGCAGTAGCTGTCGTGGTAGCGAGAGCGTCGGCAGCAGAAGCAGCGGCAGCAGCCGTCGTATGACAGTCCGTGGAAGCGAGGCCCGAGAGCAATTGACCCGAAACGTAACACTTTGTTGGCTCGTTCGTGAGTGCGTGCTGTAACGAATGTAAGGAAAGAAGCGAAACGAATAGAATAACGAAAGTCAAGCTTCGAGGGGGATGGATTCTTGCAGTTTGTTTACAATTTTACTTCTGTGGCTGGCCTTGCGCAGTATGCAGAGATGGGGTTCTTTGTTGTTGAGAATGTTACGCTCACACAGCGCTTCCGTTGCCTGTGTGTGCCAGTGTGACGATTTAGCTGAGCTGGAGTGGCTATCGAAATTTGTCGAAGACTCGTTTTCCATGGGGGAGGCAACGAGACCCGTGACGAGCTCAGGCGGTCTCACCGTCAGCACTGACGTGCAGATTGAATCATATACCAACAAAGACAGGGACCGATTCCAGAGTGCGAGCCCCGTGTCCGTGTTAGAAAGCAGTGCTAGTTCGGAAAGAGCAAGTAATCTTTATCGAGAATTGTCCGTGCCCGGCCGTGCACGCAGCAAGAGGGCTCGTACCGGCGGGCGCGGGTGGGGCACGACAGCCCGCATACTTTCTTCGTCGAGCAATTCGGGTTCCGGTTCGGGCTCGGGTTCAGGGTCCGGGAATGATACCGAATCGTTGTCGTCGGACTCGAATGCCATGACCGGAGGCGGCAACTCTTCCTCTCAAACTCTCTCTGTCGACAGCCAAGCGACTCCTTCAGCGGCCATGATAGCACCGAAGGCTGTGTCTTCGAGTGCGAAGAAGCCTTGGAAAGCCAGCAAGAGTGGGAAGAAGGGGCAGGACGCTTCGCAACCGTGGCGGTGTATGCATTGCTCGACGCAGCGAACGCCCCAATGGAGAGCAGGTCCAATGGGTCCCAAGACTTTGTGTAATGCGTGCGGAGTGCGCTACAAATCCGGTAGGCTTTTGCCCGAGTACAGGCCGGCGGGAAGTCCCGGTTACATCGGTCACAAGCACTCTAATTCTCATAAGAAGATTCTGGAAATGCGAAGGCAACGAGAACAGCAACAACAGTCGCAACCATCATCGATGCTTTCGAGCTCGAGCTGTCAAGTGTCTCCGAACCACCTTTTAGAGCTCGAGGACCCCGACATCTGCAATTCGCAGAGTTAGACGACATGGTCGTGAGAGTTCCAAAAAGACGGGAGATTTTCACTTCTAGACAGCCAAGCCAAGCACAGCCCAGCCTAGCCCGCGATAGTCAAATTTAATCAGTCCCCGACGGACGACGACGTGACGTTTCAGTCTGTTCGTTTTTATTCAAAGCCAGCCAATGTATATGTGAAGAAGGAGAAGAAGAAGAGGGAGAAGAGATATTAAACAATTCTCAGTTGCGAGAGAGCCCCGGAGAAAGAGAAGAAGAAGAGGAGGAGACAGAAAGACAGACAGAAGTTCCCTTGAGGTTTCCCTGGAGTGGGAAATCCAATCATTTTTTTTGCCTAGCTTCCGTTGAGAGGTGGGAAAGTTGGTGGCCAGTACATTAGCTGGTTCGCTGGATACGCAGCAGTTTAGACCCGACCCGACGCGACGAGACCCGACCCAAAACCAAGGAAGGAGGTCAGCCCATGCCACCTGATGTTAAAATCTAGTGTTGTAAGTATAGCAGTCACTCACTTGACCTTACACGGGCCCAGATGATGTATTTTTGTAGATTACACTTTTAGCTGCGTCCTTCGAAGATTCAGTTCAGACCTGTTACTTAGCAGAGCGTGCTTACTGCCGGCGGGATTCTTAACCAGATTTGTCAGACACGTTAGTCAGTTTATCATCATCCATTACACAGTCCAATCAGTTCGATCTCACTTTGTTTCACAATTCGTCTATCAATAAAAGTTAGCAAGAAACCATCCCTTTGGTGATGCCATGACATGATTCCATACCGGAAGCAAAAGCATTAAGGTCATTCAAACAACTGGCGCTCTGTGCTCTCTCTCTGGCCCATTCCACTTTCTTCTGATTTCGGTAATCTTCTCGCTTTACGGAGTCGACTTTCCTTTGTCCTTTTTCAGTTATTTCACACGCCTTGGCGATTCCTCCTCTCTCTGGTCAGGCCGTTGAGTACTACATGCCATGTCTGTTCTTGCACTCCCCCTCCCCTCGCGAGCCGCCCTCTCGGCCCTCTTTGCTTTTGCGTGCTGTGATGAAATGACACTTAGACTCGAACTTGCGTGTGCGGCGTGCCACTTGGCACCTTCTGACGACCGTCCAGCCCGGCCAGCCTAGAACCCCTGACCGTCCAGCCCAGTCCGGTCCGGTCCTGTCCTGTCCGGCAGCAGGCTCTCGAGTCTACCGTAGGTCTGATCTGCATCTCATCTCGGCGTCTCCCTTGTGTTCTCGCTCTGCCTCCCTACCTTCTCGTACTCCTAACCGTGAGTGACAATCTAGTCTGTTTGTTTCGTTATGCAAATCTTGTGCTGGCTGGCTGGCTGGCGGCCGGCCGGGCGGCCGGCCGGGCCGGGCTGTAAAGTTGAATAAAGAGCAGCCGGGAAGGGAAAGTCGCTGCTGCCGCAGCAGCAGTAGCATAAACTCTGAGAACTACAGTTTCGCACCATGATGCGGTCTGGCACTCAGAAAGTCGTCAAGGCAGCTGCTTTGAGTTCGATCCCAGTGGTCCTCTGAATCTGTCTGGTTTTGCCAAAGAAATGATGGTAGTCCCTGCCCGCGGTCAGTGGACCAAAACAGTTCCATGTTCTTTCTCTTTCGTCTTCTTTTCCCTCGTTGCTCTGGTTGTTCACAGAACGAACAGAGCTTCTTCGAGGATGTGGTGAGACGGGTTGGGGTGACAAAACAGTCCCTTTATTGCCAGGCGTCCCATCCCGACAAATACGGGTACTGGACAGAAGGACGGCTGGACCCCGCAATGCGAATGCTTATGAGCGCATTGCGCTGCATGTGGTCTCTTACACGGGACATTGCGGGAAATAGGTCGCCGTAAGTCTCCGCTCTATGAATTTGGCAAATGAACTCCCCGCAATCCCCGCTAAACTCGCCCCAGCCCCCGTGCAAAGCAATAAACTGTCCGCCATTGCCGCTGGGCGAGCTCCACCGGGTCAGCAGTACTGTCACCGAGTTTGGCCATTGTCTGATCCTCTGAGTCACTCATCCCGTCAGAGTCAATGCCGGACGGGGAACGGACGTTCAGTCGTTTAATCCACACTCCGGACTCTCATCTCGGACTCCCTCCCGGCTTCCTGCCCACATTACTGACTGACACCTGCACAGCCGGTGAAGAGGAGCACAACACCATCTCCTTTCCTCGCGTGTCCAGGCTAGGCTATGGTAGCCTGCACTGCCTGTCGCGCTCTTTCTCTGTCGCTCTGTCTGTGTGTGCCAGCCAGCGAGTGAGCCATTTGTGCCTAGTGTATTTCATCGCTCAGGAGTGACGAAATACCGTAGGCACTTTTCACTCACACACACTTACACCTGAGCCCTTTTCACTTTCATTGAAAAGGCTTCTGTCTCTTCCTTACAGGGAGCGATGGGTTGGGCAAAAGTGCGGTGTATGATTCATCAAAAGGGGAAGATTCAGTTCGGTTCAATTTCATCGCACTCACAAGAACTCTCTTCTTTCTCTCACGGACTTCGTCTCCCGAGTCTCGATCGTTCTTTTCCGTCCGGGCCCCCGTGATGGCTTCCTCGGCGTCTGGCGCCATCGCGCTCTCCCTCGAGAAACGCGCACCCGTCGCTTTCTTCAATTCATTATTCATTCATTCATACATCCATGCACACAGTTCAACGTGCGAGTGGTTTGTCCCTCTTTGCCAACAGTAGAAAACTTCCGTGGTCAGGAAGAATCTGCTGTGCGTGGGTCGACGAACAACAGAACATTGATTCGGCTCGCTCGGGCGAAAGCAAGCTCAGACGCAGAAAAGCATGCCCGCCGCAGTAAACCAGTAGTCACTTCAGAAGATTCCGCATGATCGAATCGACAGAGCATCGTCCCCGATTCAAAAGCCTCGAAAAGCTGCTCGACGACCACGGCCAGCCCAGCCCGGTCCGTCACGGGGTGGGGTGGGGTGCGGTTCCTGCCACAGCATTTCAAAATTCGAACCCGTTCGTTTACCTCGCCTCGCCTCGCCTCGCTTTCGAATTTGAACCCCGCTCCCACCCCGCGACTGCGTCCACGAACCCAGCCTCGCAGTAGCGTCCGCCCCCATCCGCTGGGCGGCAGTGACTCTGCCCCGGCGCTGCGAGCTCTGAGCAAGCGAGCTGCAGCACAGAATGCCCAGAGAGTACAGTACAGTACTAGATACAAAACCTCACAGCAGCATATGCCTTGCCCGTCCCCCTATCTGACGCATGGACGCTGACGGCACGTGCCTTCCGATATAGCTCTGCGTTTCCTCCGCAGCCCCTACATACGCTACTGTTCCGCGCAGTACAATTCAGTACTCGTAGCTCCTGTACTGGACTGTGCAGGCAGGCAGGGAGGTGGTCTAATCTGCTACTGGACTGTACCACCGCTCCTACCACGACCCCCACCCCCACCACCACCGCAGCATCCGAACTGTGACCTCCGAGGCCTGCGTCCCTTTCACTCCACTCCCCTCCCCTCCCGTCCCCTCCACTTTGCATCGCTGCATTCGTAGACCGGGTGCGAGTTTGACATTATGCCGGGTGTGTGTCACCCGTCTCCGCCTGTCGGTAATGGCTTTCCTTCGCAGAGAGGCGGGTCATGAATCTCGAGGTCCCAGCTGACGTTCTTTCCACGCGGTGGGTTCCGTGAGAGAGAGCGTACGCTCCCGGCTCTAAAGATTCGAGGCCAAACCCGAGACCGGGGACCTTCGGCCTGCTGCCCCGGGAGCCGCTCTTCGCTCCAAAGGTGGATCCTCGGCTTTCCCTCCCGTTCATCGCGGCAGGCGTCAAATCCGTGTGATTCATCGCCAGTGACCGGTCCGTCGGGCTCTGTCTCTCGGTCTGTCGGTCCCCCGGAAACCCCCCTCATGCTTGCTTTTCTGGATAATAAAGATCGAAGGTTGATTTATTACGAAGAAAAGCGGAATTAGAAACGGTCGTCATAATAACTTGACCATCCCTGCGCCCTTGACCGAAAAGGGGAAGATCGTTAGAATCGGTCGGATTGCGGATCGGAGGATCCGTGCTCGGCCCGTCGGCCTCGGACGCAGTCCCTCGGCTCGGCCCTCTCTTGTCTTAACGTCGTTGGGAACGCGTCGCGAGATCCAATCGAGTCCGACGAGGGTGGAGCGGGATGGGCGAGGCGGGGGCAGGGCATGGCACGGCCACGATGGAGGAGGACATGTTCGGGCTCCGGCTAAGTTTGTCGGTGGGACGTGAACACACTGGCTGCATGTGGGCGATCGCAGCGCGCTAAATCAGCCGCCAATCTCTGGACCCGAGGCCGCCCCTAGTTATGAACAATATCGCAGCCAACTCCCGGCTCATCAAATTGTCATAACTAGTCTTTAGGTCTGGACCAAATCTCCGACCTCGGCCCCGAACGTGACTCTTCCCTTTAGTTCTCCACCTTCCAAAGATAGCGCCATGCCCGCCCGACGTGTTGAGCGCTGCCGTCCACCGCCGATCGCCCGCCCATCCCTCGGTCCCGCGCCTCGTCGGAGCCCGCCACTTCCAACTCTCGCTTGCCTCGGACACACACACTTCGGTCGAGCGCATTCCCCCTCCTCGGGCCCTCGTCCACCTTTTTCTTCGTCGGAGTTCTTCCACCCCAAGGGCGGCCTCCTGGTCCCGAGTCGCGACTTGCCGGGCTCCGTTGTCAGATCCTCGTTATCCTCAACTTGTGCCCTTCAGTTGCCTCAACGTTGAGGGCTCAAGCCAACAAATTTCGTTTGTTTGCAGTGTGGATTTCTGTATTTAGAAGTTACTAACTTTACAAGGGTTCGGAGGGAGACTGCCGCGGGGCGTTTTGGGGAACGGGGAGGTGTGGTTGGGTGTTGTTTGACGATTCGGTGCAGGTCATGACGGTCGTAGTAGTGGTATCTAGAACCTTATCCCGGCGACGACGTCTTCTCTTATTAATGGCGGCTTTGAATTCTGTCTCACAGTTAACTTGACCTTTACAGTAAAGAACTCGTGCTACGGTGTCTAGAAGCATCCAATTTCCGGAAAGACTTGCTGATCAGCTTGAATTCTTTCCTGGAAAGTGGTCAAAATTTCACTCTCTTGCTGGAAGAGTTATGGTTCTCAGAACCTCAGAAGTCGTGTCGTGGGGTTTATGCACTCTGTGCTTCCATCTTCCTTCTTACTTCTTCATCATCCCGGTCGAAACTTTTCTTCAAAAGTCAGATTCACCATCATCATCATTACAAGCAGTCTTTTCGGATTGAGCTCAAAGGGAGGAAACCGCCTGTTCTGTTCGATGGCTTGACTAGACTGTCAGAGCTACGGTGTTTTCAGGAGGCCGTCAAGATGCGGGCAAATTTTTCCATTTGAGGTATTGGTCAGAAAACGGAAGGATTCGGAAACTTATACTGACAGAAGACCTTGATCGAGTTTTCATCCGGCCAGATTCCGAATCTGCAGATCCCTTCTTTCTCTCCTACTTCAGATGACAGGAGGACAGGACGGAAGGGGTTAGAACACGCAGAGACCCGGGGAGCAATCAACAGGGATCTGATTTTGTCCTGCATGCCCCTCCTCAATTTCACAAGTGAAGAACTATTGAAAACGATGATCCTTTTCTGGATTTCGTACGAGCAGGACAGCGTGGTATTCACAAATTTGAGAATCATTTCCTCATCTCCCACTTAATAAGATCCTCTTCCTCTTACTTCAACATGGCACAGATACAATTTGCCACACTTTCACAATCGCACAAGAATTCATTGCCCATGACCGCGACCGACCTTCCCTGCTGTGATGTGAAACACATCAGAAACAACAAACGAGAGTATCGCTTACACGAAATATTCCATGCTCCCCTCGGGTCGCCTCACCTCCCTCCTCATCATGCTGCTCTTAAACAGGCACACCTCTGTTTCAGGACTGGACCATGCGAGGGAGGACGGAGGACAACCCGGGGCGAGACTCATCTGAGAGAGCTTTGGTCGGATGCTCGTCGGATGCCACGGGTTGGTTGTGAAAGTGAGCTCTGCTCCGGATGTGGCCCTGGTGTGTGAAGAAGTTGCGTCAAGTTTGGCTTGACTTGGATTTCTTCTACCCCTGGAAATCCCAACATTGTCGTTCATCGAACTTCGAGCCGAAATCTGTGCATGAATCCTCTTTATTTTATTGTTCGAAATCATACAAAAGAGAACATCTGCTCTTCCCCCACATCTTACTGTTTACATCTATGTCAGGGACACAGCAACGTTTTTTCCGAACGTCCCTTCATTACATCGCTTAACTCCGGGCACAGTGGCGCATTCAGATTGATGATCGACAATATTCGTTATGGCTCTCTTCTTTGAGGGCTCCATGTCTGTGGCACCTCTCGACCTTGTCCTTCCGTCTACCGAAGAGCGTGCTGGGCACATCGCCCCAAGCTCATTGCCGGCCTCCCCCATTTCGACATGGCAAATGCTTCCTCCCAACAGACGCAACTTGGACTTGAAGAAGACCAAGGGGTCAAGACATTCTCTTGACGGGCCTCGTCCACATGCCCGGCTTCGAACCAAGTCCGAAAGACCTGAACGGTACATCACACTTACAGCCAAACGTTTGCGGCTCCGCCGAGCTTTCGAATATATCACGCGATTTAGGAAGTTTTCGGGAAAGAAGAGTACTTCCATACATCCATCGTAGCAATAATAGTTATTTTTCTGTGTGTTGTGGACCTAGGTTCTATGGAAATGGAGCCATTTCAGAAATAATGTAACTTTCAATGCCCCCGTTACCAACCCACGCTAATAGAAATCGAGAGAATTAACCATGGAATGGCCTCGAAACAAGCGCACGAAACATGCATCAGTTTCTTACAAAATAAAATCGAATCATATCAGTTCCTGGAAGCTTTGCGATGGTGCTCGATAATATTACTTGTACCAAATTCTTCATGAGATCCTGGTCGAAAAAGTAATGACGTGCGCCAGAAACATATAACAGATAATAATTGTATTGATGAATTCCGCATCGTTTAACCTGATAAGAACTTTTATAGTGTTCATTGAGATGTACCCGGTTTCTTAATGTTAACATAACTTTATTCGGAATATATTAGCATATTATATTCGGAACTTAGCATTAGAAGGATGGATAACTTCCAGTAATAACATCGAAATATAGTTCGCTTATACCTTCTTATATTCCTTGATCACGCAAGACGTTTTCTAAAATTTTGTTTATAAAACGGGGGAGAGTCAACAACGTTTTATTGCTCATAAAATTCCACTGATAAAAATTATTGCCAATAAGGGAGCGCTATGATATATAAGACAAAATTACCTTCCTGAAACATGTAGGAACCCAGAGCATTTTGCAGAAGAGTTGGAGAATTATGAAACTCGGTTAGTGGCCTACTTTGTCCACGATTCAGCACCTTTGACATTCTGCCCATTATGATCCCTGGCCTCGGACAAAACATAATCAATGACATGTCGTCGACTCATTGGCCTGAGATTGTACTCTGGTTACGCCACTTCGATCCCTTGGACAAGTTATGTGCTTATCTAGTTGGGATATTCATTCTTCCACCAAGGGCAGGGTCGTAGGCAGTAAGAATATGACAGAAAGTCCTATAGAGTTTCTGTCATATCTACTCTACGTCCAAGTCATGGCAACGCCTAGAGTACACTCTTTGTCTTGTCGTTTCGCGCAGTTGGAAAATTGAAAACGGGTTCACAGAAACCGCCCCACAATATTGTGAGGCGGTTTTTCACATACATACGGGAGGCCTTAAGGAAAGCTTATACGGGAGTTTTAAGAGGTACAGAGTATACATACTTCTACAATAACGAGATTCACTACAATCGTGTTTGCAGAAATCTAATATTATATTATCTAACATACATATTACAAATTTATATAATGGATAGTTGAAATTGTACAATAAAATATGATATTTTGACTGATTATTATATAAAATTCAGTGAATTCTTAACAAATTGGGTTTAAAAAAATCTCAAAGTGATAAAAACTTTTTTCTTCAATCTGAATATTTTGCTGTGAAACCTAAATTTTATAATTTACGTCAGACTTGTATTTATTCCCCTCCTCATCAATTTATATTTAAATGAATCATAGATAGACTCAGTTGGGTAGAAAGGTTATTATTTCGATACCAATCTTGTTTCGGTTTTCTTAAAAAACCTAATACGGTAATAAAGCATGTTTAAGTAAGATAATAAATCTTATATAATATGAAATTTATATATGGACTAGAAATTAAATAAAATAAAAATTGATATCGAAAATATAAAATAATTTTCAATGCAATTTATTCTTAACAAAAATCGGTTGATTAATTAAAAATTACCTGAGTATTTTTTTATTTGAAATTTTAATCCCAAACAGAACATATTTTTCAATATTATTTTAATATTATTTTTTACCTAAAATGTATCATGAAAAAATATTTTTTGAAGAATAAAAACATTATGGAAGAATGAAATATTCTAAATAATTAAAAAATAAATTTCAATAATAATTTTTAATTTTAAAATAATATTTCTAAATATTTCTTGATATAGTTAAATTTTCATTTGGTGATGAGATCAATATATATATTAGTAATAAATTTAGATTTTATGTGATATTATATCATTTAGGTTTATTTGATATTTCCGTCTTATTTTCAATGTCAGATATAAAATAGAAAAAGAAAAAAAATTTCAATTATCTGGTAATTAAAATGCTTTTGCAAGATTTTTCAAGAACCACATATTTGAACAATGACAAATTTTCCAAATAGTTTTTTTAAGCATGTGAAAACAAATTTTAATTTTTAATGCTTTTCTTAGTAATATGAGGTGTGTTTGATTTCAATGTTATTCTATTTTATAAGTAAATCTAAATTTTAATTTTAAAATTATTTATTAATAGAGCACAAATTACATAATGTATATTTTTACTGCAAATCCTTGAGTTTTGAACTGAAAAAGTCAAATAATTTCAAATGCTTATGTTGTAGAATGAATTTGGATTTTTAGAACATCAACTATGAATCTTTTCATGAATAAACACTTCGATTTGAATTCTTGTATAAATATAGACAAATGTTTTATCAAATTGCTATAAGAAAGTATATTTTTCCAAAAATTTGCTATATGTAAGCATGTTAATAATTATTTATACCGGAATGATGTTTACTGTAATCAACAAAACTTTCAATTTTTTGCTATATTGTATTCATCGATAAAATTCATACTACACATTTATTTTAGAAATTTTTGCCAAAGTAACTTACAACAATATCAAAATGTAAAATAAATCTATATATTTTTCTTGGATATATATATATATATATATATATATATGATCAAGTTTTTTTACTATCACGTAAGAGATTTTTTGAATGACATTGTTTAATCTTTACTAAGAGTAGAAATTTAACTTTGATGATGAATTATACAAACTTTCAGAAACACTATGGCAGGGCAAATTTTATTTCATAAACAAATTTTATCATAAAAAGAACCAAGATATATATGATTATCGCAGATTATGTTTAAGATTCCATATATTAAATTTCTTGTATTTTATTTTTCCAACAATTCGCTTAAAAATTGGGCAAAACCGAAATGAATTGAAGTACGGCTAAATCTCAATTTTTAATTTTTACATACTTTGATGGAAAATCGATTGATTAAAAGACATTAGATTTCCAAGTTATATTTCTTAAACTACTAAATTCAAATATATTTTTTCGATTATTTGTTGAGCTTCTTTTGAAGTACTTTATTGAATATTTGTGAAAACTTCAAATGCATTTTATCATAATATAATATATTTTACTTAAAATTATTTATTAAATGTATTCTAATGTGATATAAAAGTTCAAAAGCGATTATGAAAGTTTTGTTTTTTTAGTTTATCACATTAATGAAATGTGTTATATTTTTTTTATTTTCAGATTAATTATGTATGCATGCAATTTTGAAGTTTTTTAATTTCAAAATTAAATTAATCTGTTTGATATATTAGGAATGGGCAAAGCTATTTCAGTATTGCCTAAAAGTTGCATATATTATGACTATCAACGTTTACAATCTTGGTTTTTTCTTATGAAAATCTTAATAAAATAGTGAACATATCATACACACATATATCTTTGATATAATTGAAATCACATAATTTCTTTGTAAGTACATTCATCTTTACATGTGCAAAGGTTATGCAACTATATAATCTACAGTTTGATTGAAGAGTAAAGATATCAATCGAAAATCTGTTTTTGTCGTCTTTATATGTAACAAATTTCTGACACTCTCATCCTCTTCGTCAAGCGACAATGACGTACCATGCTATGAAGTTACATACTTTTAGCAAATATATACAATACTGCAGATCTTTTGATGAGCCGAAATTCCATTTTGTACAATGTTCTCCCAGACTTTTAATAATGTTATCCCAAAATATGGACATCATCTCAGCATACAAATTTTCAAAATCATGCAAATGAGAACCGTGAGATATCACATTAATCTTGCGTGTCCGGGAGATTAGATGGAAGTGATAAACAAAAATTCAGATTCCATCAAATGTGCAACTTATTCCATACGATTATGCCAACAAGGCACATCCGTTCTCATTATAGGTCTGCTACGCCGAGAAAGAGATAAGTTATTTTCAGATGTAGGCGTCGTCAATCTTACACCTCTGAAGAGATATATAAACCTCGTAAATAGGCAGAAGAGAATGCAAGCGTTGGAAATCTTAACGACGCAAAGGCCAAACTGTCAGTCTCGTCTTTCCACATTCCTTGATTTCCGCTCACTTCGTTACAAGTTTGTACTGTATATGCTAATCAAATCACGTCAAGTGGCCACAGTAAATACCATTCCCTAAAGAATGACTGCTTGCAAAAGAGATGGACGAATGGTATATTTTAGTTCTTAGATCATAGTTCATGGCAAAGTCTGGTGACAACCTATGAACATATTCCATGACTTTACATTATAGTTATAATTCGGAAATGTGAAGTCATAAATAATTTTTGTTCTCTTCGATTTGGTTCTCAAGTAAACGGTGATGTTGTGCTTATCCATCAATAGAAAGTATGGAATTTTAATAACAGAAACTTAACAGAGAAAGTCATGAAAGGTCATTGATTTTGATAACCGACCGTTGAAAAGTCCACATGGCTGTATGACAGTCGCCGAAGAGGTGAGAAACTAATCGTTTGCTGAGCATGTATGTCTGTTTGTATGATAAGTAACTAGGAGCACATGAACTTTGTTCCACTCCTGGAGGATTTGTGCAAAAGCTTTCAAGATCTACAAATTCAAGAGAAGTAATTCACGCATCATTTACTCATTTTATGATAGTATACTTCCTTATCACATGGCATGAGCGATCATCTTCATGCCATAGTGTCGGATTTTTCATGAACTGGATAATGGACTCGCACGATGATTAAGATCTCGACCATTGTCACGAAAACCAAGTGGCCCCGATGAACATTGGATCCAATCTAGCGAAAGAAATGCTGGAACCACGTAAACAAATTTGCTCTAATAGAAGGTCAAGCGTCCCATAGAGCATATCGTAATTGTTTATGGCCATACATAACTCA